CACACACACACACACTCTAAGTAAATGAACAATGTAAACAAGGGCATATATATATATATATATATCTTTGGGCATATATGTATATATGCACTAAGTAAATGAAAAATGTAAACAAGGAGCAATGCTAATCCACTTTTGAGAAAAGGTCAACAAATTGCTCTAAGTATTCATAAAAATTTCATGAGCTACTTTGCATAAAATGATAAGTGTGTTAATTAAGTTTATGGTTTCATTAGATGCAGTAAATGAAAGGTAGTCACTATTTAAGAAGAAGTACTTTTATTTTCCTAAAGTCTTAAAATTATAAGAAACAGAATTGTTGGATGCAATAAGAGTAGCAAACTTTCTGAGCCAAAGGTAAGACCCAAGAGAGAAAGGACTGACATTAAACCTTGAAGAGGGTAAAGGTAAGGTTACTGATGCTGGCTCTGCTTCCCACTCTTCTACACCACGGAGATGTTTCTGTCCATTGAGATGGTGGTGATGATGGTGTCAGTGGATGCAAGAAGGGTACAGTGAGCAACAACCAACATGACCTACTACTGGAAGCTTTAGGATTTGAAGATCCAAATCATGTACTTAGATTGCCTTGATCCAGTCAACATAACAAATACCACCCTATCCAATTTACTAGTGTTCTCCTGCCATTTGAAAGTTATACAATCTATTTCACTAACTAAGACCACTCAAGGATTTTAAAATAGTGGAACTGAGACAATTTGGTAGCCATCTCAAAACATAAAGGTAGAACTGTGTCTCATACAGTACATCAGCAAAAATTTCAGTTGAAAGGAAGTAGAGAAAATTAGAAGAATTCTTCAGTGATCTCAGAATAAGGAGAACCATTTAAACTATGATACAAATCCAGAATTAATAAGAAAAATGATGGATTTGTTCCCAATGCACAAATACCTGAGTAGTGAATTTAAAAAATCAATCAAACAAACAAAAACAGGAAAACAACATCAAAAAACAAATAAAGAAAGGCAAAAAGGTATTTTCAAAATTCATATCACAAGCAAAATATAGGAAGAGACAGTTCAAAGAAAAGGAAATAAAACTAAAAAGATTTTCCAACTCATTCTTATTAAAATAAATGCATATTAAAATTACTCAGAAATACACTTTTTTAACCTACCAGACAGGCAAAATTTTAACGCTAGACCATATGTTGTTGACAAGCCTGTGGTAAATGCACTCCTAGGCATTTAAATAGGCACGGTCTTTATATAGCACATTTTGGCAGCATTTGTCAAAATTGCCAACATGAAAGCCTTTGTCCTCCAGTTCTTCATTTAAGAATGAATGCTACAAATATGCTTGTGCCCAAGCAAGATAATGTCCACATAATAAAGTATTTCAACAGTTTTAGAGATCTAAAGTAAATAGAAACATCTAAATTTGTATCACTAAGAGCTCATTAAGTGAAATATGATACGTTCTATATATCATATATATGATCATATATAATTATGTGTCATATTACGTGTATATAGATCATATATATTATATGTATACATATTAGAGCGTGGAATACTATGCAGCTATAAAAAGGATGGGAAAGCTCTTTATATTTTGATAAAGATTTTCAGGATAGATTAAATAAAAATAGAAAGTAGGAGATAAATGCACATTGTATTTTACCATCAGGGTAAAAACTTAAATGAGTAGAAATAAAGAAAATCTATGTTTGCTGCTTGCATACACCTAATATTTTTCTAGAAGCACGAGCAAGATGTTAACAGCAGTGATTACCTGGGGCTATGGAAGATGAGCAGATGGAGGAAGTGAGGAAGGGAGGGAGGGAGGGTGTGTTACTATACCCAAAGTTACATAAAAAATAAAATCAGTTTGACTGATTCATAATATTGATAAAATTTATCTTTTGAAGCAGAATTGTGTGGAAAATATTAAAATATTTTATTTTAATCATTATTATTATTGGCTCTATTAAAGAACTCACGAGATCATTAAAGACACAAACAGCACATAGAACAAACAAGTTGGAGAAACGGTGTAATTCCTTGCCCTGTTTTTTGTGGTTGTTGTTGGTGGTGGTTTTGTGTGTGTGTGTTTGTGTGTGTGTGATGTATAATGAGTTTAAATTTTCAAATGTTTAGAATTTGGACTTATTAATAAATTATTGTTCAATGCCTTTCTTATTTTAAGAAAAAAGTGAGATGTAGCTCAATTTCAAAGTGAAAACTCCAATATTAAATCTATCTGCCTTGTTACATCTAGAACTGACAGTTTATAAAGCATAAAGTTTCCTTCAGTCAATGTTAGCTCCTGAATCATTTCATCTTATAAATAAAAACTGTGTGTGTGGGGTGGCGGTGGTGGTGTTCTTTATTCTATCTCCATCAGCTGGAAGCCACCTCCTGCCACGCCTCATCATTACTTGGATCCCATTCTTCCTGTACTCTTCTTGCCTGAGCCCCGTTATGCCCCATCTATCCAGATTATGGCCAATCTTATAGCCAGTCTTACCTTCTAATCCAATTCCCACACAGCTGCCAAAATAACCTTTCTTAAAAGTAATCTGCTGGCCGGGCACGGTGGCTCACGCCTGTAATCCCAGCACTTTGGGAGGCTGGGGCGGGGGATCACTTGAGGTCAGGAGTTGGAGACAAGCCTGGTCAACATGATGAAAACCCTTTTCCACCAAAAACATGAAAAATTTGCCTCATGTGGTGGCCCCCACCTGTAATCCCAGCTACTCTGGAGGCTGAGGCAGGAGAATCACTTGAATCCGGTGGCAGGGGTTGCAGTGAGCCCAGATCGTGCCATTGTACTCGCTCCAGCCTGGATGACACAGGGAGACTGCATCTCAAAAACAACAACAACAACAACAACAACAAATACCCACCAACCAACCAACCAAACAAAAAAACACAGTAATCTGCATTAGTAACCTCTGCCTACTCAACGTTCCATTTCTTAAAAAAGAGGTAAACCGTGTAACCTAGCATACAAAATCCTGGATAATGGGATCCAGGCCGACGAGCGCCTGGCACTCAGCTGCTGGAAGTCTTGAGCCACGCTCCCCTACATTTCTAACCCTGGCTGCTGCTTCTCCTGGCCTTGCAACCATGCTCCTCCTTCCCTCAGGTTTCAGCCTGTCCCTGCTGCATAAGGAGGGTTTCACAGCACCACACTCTGCATTTCCATGGCTCTGTGCACTAAGTGCTGGAAACCTGCATATGTTTTATAGATTTATTTGATTAGCATCTCTACACTAAGACCTTCAGAGAGGACAGTATACCTTTAAACTCCGTGTCTCCTTGATACATTACCTGTCACTGTGACCAGCTCAGGTAGATCACAATACCGTTCTTTTCTTTTTTAGATGGAGTTTTGCTCTTGTGGCCTGGCCCAGGCTAGAGTGCAATGGTGTGATCTCAGCTCACTGCAACCTCCACCTCACAGGTTCAAGCGATTCTCTTGCCTGAGCCTCCCAAGTAGCTGGGATTACAGGCACCTGTCACCTTGCCTGGCTAATTTTTTTTTTTTGTATTTTTAGTAGAGATGGGATTTCACCACATTGGCCAGGCTGGTCTCAAACTCCTGACCTCAGGTAATCTGCCTGCCTTGGCCTCCCAAAGTGGTGGGATTACAGGTGTGAGCCACTGCACCTGACTCACAATACCTTTCCTTAGGAGAAAGAAAGGGAGGGAGAAAAAATGAAAATATCTTTTAATTCATCAGCATAATCCATCAAAGAATGAAAACTAAGAAGCTCTGCAACAAACAGTGAATAAACCCATGAAACCAAGTCAGCTATTAATTCACCAGCTTCACTTTTCTAATTACAATGAGTTTGATGCCCCCACCCCTATAGGAAGCATCCAAGTTACTCAGTGAAGGGAATGGTGCTTTGGGTCATATTGGAGGTGGGAGTGAGCAGCCTTCGGGGAAGTGGCAACTCCTGCCTGCTGTACGTCATGCTGTTGAACAGGCTGCTGCAGCTCTACTGGAGAAAACACTTCCCAAGAGGGAGGAGAGAGACATTTAGCTTTCAGTTACTAAGGGACTTAATATATTAAATGTTGCAAAAATTGAAAATGTCTATATACACAAACGTTAGTTCTATTTAATTGTTCATTTTGCTAAGGTTGAAGCAATTTCCGCGGGGGAAGATAGAAGCTGTAATCTTTTTGGTAGAAGGGTACAGCCAGGGACTTCCATAGAATTGAGAGAGAAGGAGAGGGAGGGGGAACCAGGCAGGTTGGATTGCAAAGCATTCCTTTCCAGCTGCATCTCTCATGTCTTCTCAAGGGGGTCTTGCAAACTCAACAGAAGCTAAATCCTCAACAGTATGACTTGAGCCATGAACCATAGCTGTGGTCAAAGTAAAAAGGATGAGGCAGACCTCCATTCAAGTCCTGACTGTACCTGAGGCATGCATGCCTCATCTCCCTGAGCCTCAGGGTCCCTAGTTGTCAAATGGAGATGATAATTTTCCCTTAGAGGATTAAAGATGGTTATTTCTTCCTAAGTGCCATGCATACAGTAGGTACTCAGCCATGGCATATGGAATGATTACTTCCTTGCCGCTGCTTTTGCCCAGAAACTTACTAGCTGTCTTCCCTTTACATATCCCAGCTTTACTCCTCCTTCTAGGCACAGCGCTTAATTGGCTTTCTCCACTCAAGAACCATTCAAACTCAAAGAATATTCATTCTTTCTAAAAACAAAATCCCCATTTTCCATCATATTTATGTAGCCATAAGGACATAGTTCCTTTTATTATTTATTTTTTCAAGTCTTGAAAACATGCCCTATTTTGCCCAGAAGGAGGTATGCATATTGAATTTGATTCTGGAATCTGTGGGCAAAGCCTGTTATTACTTCCCAGGTCCAGCACAGTTCCTGGTCCATAGGGAGACATCATTCTTTGCCTTTGTAACAGAGATAGCTGCCTTTGCTTGTATAGCATTCTGGTGTGCAAAGCTGCCCTTGGACACAGACATCATCCTGCCTTCCTCCCCTCTTCACAGATGACAGCAAAGCGCGGCTCAGCAGCAGCCTGCCCTCTGCCACCCTGGGCAGCCTCCTGGATGACCAGCACTGGCACTCGGTCCTCATCGAGCGGGTGGGCAAGCAGGTGAACTTCACGGTGGACAAACACACACAGCACTTCCGCACCAAGGGCGAGACGGATGCCTTAGACATTGACTATGAGGTGAGTTGCTCCTCCCTGCACCTCCCAGGCCCCTTGCTTCAATGAACGCAGCAAGAAAATCAGTGAGCAGAGCAACTGAGAGAAGTGGTGAGGCACTGAGGAGTCTTACCCTGGGACTTACTTCCTCCATCTATGCCAGATAGTCTACAAGGAAAGGCGTGCAGCCAGAGAATCTGACCAGTGAGGGAGTGAGGGTTAAAACACAAGATAGCAGGTGTGTGCATTTTAAAGTCAGCAGGTCTCCTCATTTTTTTTTTTTTCCTGCTTGTAACCTTTCTGTGCCACTGCCTAGTCTCTTGGTTATGTACCTCCTTAAAAAAAAAAGACTTCAGTTATCTGTGGTGATGAAAGATATTTAAATTACAAACAAAACCCATGGAATCTGAAACCTGCAGTCAAGACACTACCCTTTGACTTTCACTCTTCCGATGCAAACTTTTGACTAATACCATGGTGAGCTGTTTCTTCCCTGCTGTCTTGTAGAAGAGGTACGGTGAAATGCACCAATTCTACAATACAAAGAAAGTTGCACAAAGCTCTGCAAACTGGCAGCCAAGAGTTCGCCATTTTTGCTAGTAGTTCAGTTCAAGGAATGCATATTGTGCCCCTGCTGTACACCAGGCTCTGCTGGGCCATAAATATTCAGTCTCTGAGTTGGAGAAACTGAGATAAGCCCTTGCAGAACAAGGAGGTAAAGGCTACAGTGGATGAAGCCCCTGTCACTGAAGGTTTGGAATATAGAAATTTTATATTTATATAGGAAACAGGGCATTTAATTCAACCTTGAAAAATAGCAGAAGTTTTCTAGCAGGATAAGCTGCTAAGTCTTGAAAGAATAGGGTGAAAAGATTGGGGAGGCATGACAGAGCGTGGTTTAAAAAATGTCAAACAGTCCAGTATTTATGGAATTCAAAAGAATGGGCTATCAGTGGTGTGTTTGAGTCAGCTTGTTACCAGTTTATGAGTTTCAAGTTGTAGATTTTCAGAAATTTTTGTGAGCTCTTGGTTAACCTAGCCATTATTAAAAATTAAGTTGGCTGGGCGTGGTGGTTCACGCCTGTAATCTCAGCCCTTTGGGAAGCCGAGACCAGCAGATCATGAGGTCGGGAGATAGAGACCATCCTGGTTAACATGATAAAACCCCGTCCTTACCAAAAACACAAAAAATTTGCCAGGCGTGGTGGTGGGTGCCTGTAGTCTCTCATACTCGGGTGGCTGAGTCAGGAGAATCGCTTGAAACCGGGAGGCGGAGCTTGCAGTGAACTGAGATTGTGCCACTGCACTCCAGCCCGGGAGACAGAGCGAGACTCCGTCTTAAAAATACTACTACTAATAATTACGTTATATAAATGTGAAATTAGTTTTAAAAGCTAATAAACTCATTGATTTCTAATTATTTCACTATATAATATTGATTTGCTGTCTCTTTTAACCAACGGTGCTCTGGAGGAATTGCATGACTATTCTATCTGTGTTGTGGGGATACTGTATGTTGGGCTGCGACCACACAGCTCTCCCCAATTCCATGTTCAGTGAAATCCCTTTGACAGCTTGAAGTCTACCATAGTGGAAATACTTATACCACAGAGGTTGACATACATTACAAATCAGGGACTGCTTTATTGTTTTGAGGATTGTCTAAACCAGGGGTCAGAAAACTAACTGGCTTGTCTGGCTTGAGGCCTATTTTTTTATGATGTGTGAGTTAAGACTAATTTTTACATTTTTAAAGGGTTGTAAAGGAAATAAAGAAATCTTTCGAAAAGAATATATGACAGAGACTTTATGTGCTACCGATAAAATCATTCAACAAAGGTCAGCAAAAGCATTCTATAAAACTCAGCTGGTTGTACAGAACTGACAATAATAGATTATTGCATATTTTATCATTATTCATAAATTGTGTGCTACACATTGTTAATATCATTAAAATAATCTTATGTTTGGATACACAGTCATGGCACACCGACACATACATACCTGTGTGTGTGTGTGTGTGTGTGTTCCTGTGTCCCACCCTGGACAGCCTGCTAGGAGACAATTTCAATCACTAGTGGGATAGATAATAGAATGGTGGAGGTGGAGATGAATAATTGAAAAATCGGGACTTATTTTTTCAATCACTATCATGAGAATAAGAGAGCTCTTTTGATCTTAACCTTAGTTTAGTAGACTGTGGATAAAATATGCCATTCATTAACTTCAAAAAAGAATTTGTCGCTCTTTGACTCAGAATACAAGATAACAGGTGGATATTTTTGAGTTGCTGAAAACTGGAAATCTGTGAATATCAATCACTCTCTTTTGTCGACTTGTTTAATTGATTGACAAAAGAAAGAACACACTCAATATTGGAACCACCTAAAAGAAAAGAGATATCTTTTATAAACTCGAAGACAACAACAACAGCAGCAAAAAAAAAAAAAAAAAAAAAAAAACCTATAAAATCATCTCGTCATTCCCCCCACATACGTTCCCTTTAATGTCCCAGAAGATGGTTCTAAAATTCACTCTGTTGCCAGATCTAACGTTTATTACAAGTCCATGTCTGCTTATTTTTTGTCTCTTGTGTATGGAATCTGTATGAAATCACAGCCGAGTGAC